ATCTCATATCATAAGCGGGCTAATTTAGTTCCCGTCTCGCCGGCACCGGCTCCTTTCGCCGTGAACGAACTTCACGGTTACTACGAGTGCCACACAGTTCTGCAGAAAGGGAACTGCAAGGACGCTTTTTATTAATCCAGTGAAGTAGAAAGAGATTCGCACTTTCCACCTCTCCTACACATTATTTTCGCCCCAAATCCAATCTTATCATACCTACCATTGCCTACTGCAGTCACTTATAATTATCAACAAAGAGTTTAATGTTTCACCTAAAACAGTAATACATTAATAGATTTTCATTAGAAGTACCGATGATTCAGGCTTAGCTCTTTTTATAACCAATTGAAAATTATCCAAAATTACTTTACACATATGTCTGAAATATATTTAAAAAGTATAATTTTGAAACAGAATCAACAATAGAAGCAGAAGCTTAAATAGTAAATTACAAAAATCCAAAAAAAAAGTTTTAATCTAAACATTGAATTCATTCAAATTAGTTGTGCGTATCGATTAGAAAAACTTCGTAACAACCCTACTATAGCGTATACAGTACTCTTATTTGTAACTTTCCAACTATTTATTTAATTTGGAGTCCGTTATTGTGGAGACATAGCGGCACGAAAGGCGAGTGCCCGCGGGGCGTGCTTCGAATTAATCCAATCCACGAAACAGGTATTACAGAAGGCTAATGGGGCGAAGTTTCCATGTAAGCCAATTGTGTTCCGTTAATCTAATCGGCGCCGTGTAGAACGATATTTTGATATCGGGCTTACCGTAGCAATTGCCAAATGAAAAATGCGCGGATTTCCTGACGGCTTGTAATCGCCGCATAATCCATCAAACGTAACGATGCTGAGCAATTTGTTTAAGGAACGCCTTCAGAGCGCGTCGTATTACTTATTTTCACGGCTGCGTGGTTGATGTATGAACGGAAAATCTCCATTGGCTGTTATTGATTTCCTTTTATATCATTCAAAGCTTCTTTTTATACTGAATAGTTCTATAGTGCTCGTTTCGATGAAGATTTTTATTAATACTTGACAATTCAAAACAAATTAATAACTTTAATAATAACAAGTTTATAAAGAAAAGGCTGTAACGTTGAATTTATTCTACAACAGGTTAAAGAAAATAAATAGTATCACAAAGTATCGATACATTGCCTGGCTAATCGAAATAATATTCAAACTCAACATACACAAGTTGTTTGTTCAAACTATCCTTGACCGAAATAATTTCGATGCGATAACATCTTTTAAACGCCAGAAAGCTTATTATAACTCTCTTCCTCGTAGTTCCAGCTGTGAGACTTCACGGCCACTCTCCCTCTCAGTATGGAGAGGGGGAGGCGGGTCATTCGTCCCCCACCTGACCAATGTGACCGTGCTCATGCGATAAAATAATTACCCCAATCAAGTCCAGTTTGCCGTACATAAATTCACAAACCGAAAAAGGCCAATATTTCATTACGCATTTGACGCGAAAAATAAAAACTAAAAACTGAACCGTGCTTTTTTTTTAGAATAACATACAATCGCGATAAATCGCGTTAACAAGGAATTGAATGAACATGCCCCAATTGCGATAGCGACCCCAAAATGTGGACTCCGCATTAGCAAACGCATATAGGGCACGCAAAAGATATCGCGACAAAATAATCTTGGTACACGGTATTAATTACCCTGATTGCTGTATAAAAATAAACAAATTAAAACAATAGGCATTATCAGATTCACTGGCCGCGTTGTCGTGTAACCGGTCGTGGTGGATCGCGTGTCGGGCTAGGCTCACAAGAATCTTGATACACTTCGGCCCGCACTAATTATAGCTTTACCTGCAACCTCAAACGAAAGCCTAGGCAGCTTTCTCTTGTGTGAAAATATGACGTTAATTCACTGTTTATGTAAAACAGCTATGGTTGTTGCCTGATTCTGGATTTGACTTAATCCGCTAAACTACACATTAATCTTTCTTCTTTTATGTCCTGCCTTCAACTTTAACAGCCGTCATCTCAATACTCACCGCTTTCGCAGACATATCATTCTTCACAATATCGATCCAAATCATACTCATCACTCTGCTAGTCACATGATTTTTATCCCTTCTCATATTCCCGTGCCCGTACCATATCAACCTACCTTATATGTAATAAATAATACGGGCCACGCACCAGCCTCGGCTGTTGCACGAATGGGCTGGCTCTTCCGGGTAAGTACCACGACCTCACAGAAGACCGGCGTAAAGTGGGAGTATGATACTTTCGCGTTTCGTCTGGTGAGTGAGGTAGCCGAAGCCCAATTTTCAAAAGGTTGTCAACGTATCTGCAACCCTCGGGTGTAGCGGATTTCCATGAGCGGCGGTATTCACTTAAAATTAGGTGAACCATCTGCTCGCTTGGCAACTTTTCACATAAAAAAAAAACGAAACAAAACGAATAAATGAAACGTTACTTTTGCCAATTCACAAGTTTATTGTTACCCCCATGGGATTGAAAGATGCAAAATGCATCGTCACTGAATATTTGATTCTGACAGAAGACAATAAAAAACTCCGTAGTCTGTTTCGTAGCAACCGCATGAAGCCTTAAATATGTAGACATCTTATGACGAATATCTCATCTCGAGAATACAGCCGAGCCAATTTAAACAGATGCTGCAGTAGTATAAAAATTCAATTACTTAAGTAGACGAAACTTATATTTATTAAAAACCACGCTATACTACGTTAGAACTCAAAAATGGTCACATATGATTGTATATTTTACAATTCGTATGTAAATAAGAGCTCTCAAACGAATATGTTGGTAATTCAGACTTACAGAGGCAAATACCATTATTTAAATTCGCTGTTTAATTTTAAGGTTGACCGTGTATAAAGAGTTCGTAGACATTGCAATTGCAACTATTTAAAGCTGTTTCCATTTAAATTTTCTAGCACCTTTTCGCTAAAGTCTGAAAATGTATCTCGATTTTGTTTGAAGAATAAATATGCTAAACATAACTAGTTATTTCTTCTATCGTCTCAATGCTTGCCATCAATTTAATGAATAATGTAGTAGGAATGACTTAATGCTATCTCATGAAACAAGCGTATTACTCTTTATAATGCAGGCTAATCTTAAAGCCGTGAATACATACTATTCTAAAAAAATGATTTCTCTTCAGTCGAAAGAACTAACAATGATGGTTTGCTTGATTGATTGATGATGATTGTGAGCACACTCTAATCATTTAGTATTTAAACAAGAAATGATTTCCAAACAAAAGTACATATTTCAATAAATAACGTAGTTAACAATACCAGCTCCCTGCTATAGGAAGCGAAATCTAAATTCGGCTAAATTCTATTCTCGCTTCCGCAGCTTGCAGCAAGCCCTGCAGAGAGTAATAGACAGTGACGTCTGACTTCGTGAAAAATGCATTCTACAAAGACGTTAGACTCCATGCAAATAGGGAACACATTGAAAAGACTTTCGCGCCGACTCCGGGCCGCGCCACGTCATGCAAGACGTTTGCGTTCTTAAAGTTCACAGAATACACACAAAGACCATAAAGGTCGCTCTATTCACTAAAGTGTTGTTGTCAAACACAGAAAACGAATTTAAGCTCCTGATTATTCACTCTTTACATTTTTCATACTTTATACCACTACTAGAAAGATCATTTAAACATAGCACTGGGTGTTTCTTTATATATATAATTCTTCTGTATGCGTGTATGTCACTGAACTCCTCCTAAACGGCTAGACCGATTTTAATGAAATTTTTTATGCGTTCAGATGGATTCGAGAATGGTTTATATTCACAACGTTATTGAAAAAAGTTTGAAATTTTCGAATTTAAGACGTGTACAGGACAAAGTCTGTCCGGTCCGCTAGTGTCAAACTCGTATATTTTTTATAGGACTGCAAACATTACCTATGAGATAAAATGGAGCTTTTGGATCAAACAAGAAATTTAAACTGATTTTGTTTAAAGTTACGCTTTATGTTTAATATTATTTTTTACATGAGGATGTTACAAACGAGCTGGTGGTTTACCTGATGGTAATAAAGGTTTTTTTATGGGAGAAAGTGGCAAACGAGCTGTCAATTCACTTCATGTTAAGAGATAACCATCACCCATTCACATTTGCAACACCCGTAGGGTTGGAGCCCTTGCGTTGGCCACCATTTAATAAAGTGGGCCCCAGCTACCTCACTCACCAGACGAAACGCAGAAGTATAACACTAGCAATTCACGTCGGTCTTCCGTGTACGTAGTACTACTACCTGATCGGACCTGCCCATTCGTGCAACGGATAAGATTGTTGCGTGGCCCTACCATAGTTAACTTGTCCAAACTGAATTGATATCGTAACGAAAGTCTCAATTCCGTTTACAATTTCTTGAATACTTTGTTGCATGGAATCAATTCTTGGATCTAACCATTATAAAACCACCCGTCGACTTTGTGCCTGACTCAATCCAGAAAGTTGACCTGCGTGGACCATAGACACCCAAACCACTAAACGGGACACGCGATGCTATAAATAAGCTATATAATATAGTAAAGCCCTGAAATAAAAGGAACTTGTTACTTAAATAATTAATTTACCTTATGAAAAACTAATCATTTTTAAAATTAACTTATTTGTATTATGATTTGAGCAAACATGCTGGTACTTGGCAGTATGTTTGCTCAAAGCATCTTATTTTAATACAAAACTTTAAAATAACTTATTATTTTGTTCAATTTTTGAAGGGTAGGTACTAGGCTAAAATTTAAGTAAATCTTATGATTTTCATTGAATAAATTTCACTTGCGATGAGATAATTTTCAACAGCAATCGTGAATAAATTGACCTCATTAGAAAATTTTACGACACAAATAAAGCTTTAAAATTATAAAAAAAATCTTAATTTTAAACAGTCGTACCTCGTTTATTCTTTGATCTATGTCATGTTTACAAAAACCTTTGGAATTCTCTTGCGGACACCTTTACTACAGAACCTTCTTTATGGATTCAAAACGCGACGCTCTTTATGTCGGTGCTATGTAAGTACAAATTTTTGTTATATTCCTATATACAACATATTATTTGCTTTTTCTTTTAAACAATAAATCTTTAACACCCGGCCAAACATTGGTGAAGTAACGCCTTAAAAATATATTTAACTGAAAACATACCTGTATTCGTATTCAAAGTTCGATATACTTAAAAAAATATTCGAGGCATTCCTAGTGAGTCAGCAACCGTACACAACACCCGACAATAAGTTAACTACGACAATTTGAGCAATAAAACGATCCAACATAAACATTTCATTAGAATTTCCACGCAACATTGTTACACGCCCGTACTTACATCATAAACTAAAGTTCTGAGTAATTTGGTCTATCTTTTTATTGTTCACTGCCGTACCCAATATTCCGGGTTTACGATTGATAATTTCAGTTTGTGTTTCATTTCAGGGACCGACTCTTTCGTCTCAACATGAACAATATAAGTGCATCACATTGCGATGTGAGTATTTCATTTTGGCAATATATTAATACCATTTCGCGAAAACATTCCCAAGTTATATCAAATTTAGTATACGACAAATGTTTGTTGAGTAAGAGATAATAATAATTTACACTACATTAAATATAAAGCTACATGTATAATGGATTCCCTGTTGTATTTAAATATATAAAGGCCTAGTTAATATTTCTAAGCATTGGTTACAGCTGTCCATTCTCTAATGAACTTTATGGAATTGGCAACAAATCATAATTATGTATTTTTTCGTATATTGTGCTGTATAAGCTTTTTATTTTATTTTAGTTACCGTTGTATGTTACATTTAAAACGACATTCTACAGTTAAAATCCTTTGCGACAGCTAGAACAACAACAGCTTAACTAACCGCTTCTGCTGCACGAATAAGCCAGCTAAACCGGGGAAGCCCCACGGCTCGGCAGAACACCGACATAAAGTAATCTATACTTTTGCGTTTCGCATAGTCAGTGGAAAAACGCATACAACACTCTGATGATGTGAGTCTCCGTGGGTGACGCTTCTAACTAACTTCAAGCAAACCACTTGTTCAGCTTCAACCCCTTTGAAATAAAAAGAAATATGTACTCATAAACGCACGTAAGAATGTCGGTGTGCGCGCGTATCGTAAAAATTTTGCACTCATATTTTTTATAACTCTTGACTCTTGTTTTACAAATACATATTTAAAATGATTAAATTGCTCTTTTACGGTGAACAAAAGAAAAATAACTTAAAAAAAATTACCTCTTCATAACATATCTGACTCTTGTTTACAAATACATATTTAAAATGATTAAATTGCTCTTTTCTTTACAGAGAGACTCTATTAACTTGGAACCAAGCAATGTTGCTCAATGCGTTTCTAAAGGAAAATCAGAAGTAAGTATGCCTTTTTTTTTAATTCTTTTCTTACTTGATGATTATGTTACAGATCACACGTGTAAATAAGGCAATATTTATAACAGGTTTTTGTTAAAATAAAAAAGAAATATATGTGAGTTTATATATGTATGTTTATATGTATGTATATATGTATGTCTATGTGTATATATATATATATACATGTATATATTTATTTATATTTATTTACTTATATATATTTAGTTACATATATTTATGTATTTATTTATACAGGTATTTATTTCATTTATTCGGTAGTTATCTTCTTATGCAGTTTTTTTCTCTGTGCACCTACCTCACTGTCTCTGTACCACCCTAAGGTTGACTGGTAGATAATGCCTATGGCATTAAGTCCGCCTTTGTACTTTGTGTGCATTAAGAATAAATAAATAAATAAATATATAAAAATACATAGTTTCTTGCTTACATGCTCTTTAAAATACTTTCACCAAAAATTGATTTGATTTATTGATCGAAAATTCTTTATTACACCAAAAAGATTGTACAAAGGTGAACTTAATGCTTAAATAGCATTTTCTTCCAGTTAACCTTTAGCGGCTGAGAGCAAGTTTCGGGCAGTAACGCTATGGTACTTGGCAAAGCTTTTAAAAGACTTTACTTTATGGGTAGTCAAAAAAAGGTTGCAAATGGGTAGATGGGGTTGATGAGGGTTGAAATTTTCAATTTTATTAAATTAAGAAACTAAAGGTGACGCGAAGATAAAAAAAACCAGATGAAAGTTATGAAATTATCCAAACCTTACACACAGTTATTGCGAGTTTACACCATATACGTAGGGAATGGTATAATGGTAAAAAAACCAAGTATAAAATTACATCCAAACGAACATAGTTTATTACAGGTCCTAAAGTATTAGAAACGCCTAGTAAAAGTAAATATTAATTTGGACGCCGTAAAACCGCTAAACTACTTTTCTCAACATCTGCAATATGTTTAATGTATAATGACGCTTATTGTTTTATCATCGTTTAATTGCCCGTAAACATATAATTGCACTCATTGCATCGCAATAACGCCGTGATAAAGCGATAAATCAAGCGCAACGCAGCACCGTACAAGGCTTACCTCCCGGGCAGAGCCGCGTGCAACCACCACTATTAGCGTCAAGGGTTAATCCCATTTTTAACTTTGAGCGGCGGGCGGCGGCCGTATTTCATAGCGGGAAGCTCTAAGCCAACCTCCGCCCGCTATATTAAGGCCGTTAATTTTGATTTACAATCGCGGCGTAAAAGCAATATTTGTTTTATTCCCCGTTCACATTCCGTCTCCGGAGATCGTGGTGCGACGATTATTGCGTCGCATTCCCGGTTGGACTAATTCGATAATGCCTCGGCGCAACCGATTCCATCCTTGAGTGCTTTCATATTATTTATTGCGGGCCCCCAGTACCCCTGGCGGGATATTGCTTCGTTCGGGAAAACCATATTTCCTTTTAAGTGGTCGAAACGCTACTTGTCCCGCTATACTGTTTAAAGCGGTCGCATAGCAATAACGCGATAGTAGCTATCTAATAAAACAATTGAATTTGTTCAAGTGATAGGTAAGATTAAAATATACGATAGCCTCAAGGTATTACAGAAAACTGTTTTTAATTTATTTTTTTATTTTGATTTATTTAAAACATTACCCCTATTGTAGAAAACACTCTTGTATTTATGTGACGTTTTACAAACACAAAGGCAGTAAGGAAAATCATCAGATTGGAATTAATAATCTGTAGGTCATACAATTAATGATCATGGGAAGGAATTGAACCCACGACGTGCGCTGTAAAACAAATCACCTGTTCCAATTACGCTTATCGCATTATCAAAACAAATAAATTAATTATATATCTTAGAAAAAAATATATCTAATAGGCCATTTGCTTTAGCTTTTATAAATGTTATAAATTCGACTCCAACAAACGACAAAAACCTACGTTATAATGTTATACTTTCCTTAAAAATTCCCTGACACAACCAGCTATTTTAGCACATGAATAACAAAGCAATATTGGCATGAAAGTATTTTACCTACCGAAAGCTCTAAACAAGTAACGTTTTCGTGCCAGTTGTAATAAGAAAGTCATAAAACTTACCTCGATGTGAAATATCCCGTGCGATATATACGAAAAGGCCCCGAGTAAGTAGTAAAATCATTTTGATAGTCAACAAAGCGCCCGCATCGCTGGCAAAAACTGAATACAAGCGAATGCTCAAACGTACCGCAACGAACGGGAGGCATCGTGTAAGCCGCGCCGATAAAAGGTCAAACTTCCGCAGTATCGCGGCAAGAAAGGCAATAGACCACATGCTACCCACCCGAAACCCTTCCAATGGCGAAAAAAGTAAATTTGTTTTATTAGTATCAAAGAGAGCTATAAAATAGAAATATATCCGCCTCTATCACCTCGACCGTAGAAGGAACGGCCACTCGTGAAAGCTATAATCAAAGTTTCCCAGTGTCGACGAGTTTTCCTCTCTCTAAACATGATGTCGTTACACGAAAAAGGCTGAGAAACGCCGTCGGCGAAATCCTGAAAGGCCGCCACGGTCGCGCCGTTCGCCTTGTTGTTCCAAGCTCGGCGCTCTTTGTGACGCTATTAAGGGGAGAAATCGCTAGGTAAATCACAGAACTTTAGATTTTAAGATCCATTACAACGGTCGACTCAATCTCGATTTTACCACATGAGCGGGTGTTTGTTCTTTATGGCACTTTTAAACCGGGATAAAGTTCTGGTGGCCAGATAGGTGTCGGTGATAAAATGAAACGTGCATTACTCTTTCTCGCTGTGGCAATTGTTAGCACATTACGCTTAGATAATTGGAATTTATCTGAATGTTAATAAATGGATGTAAATTAGTTCACTTCAATACGTAATAAGGGCCATTAGAGCTGACTACCTCTGCAGTGTCCCGGGCAAAAATGTCGCGGTGAAACGGCGGGGAAAGAAAATCCGGCCGTAAATCTACTTACGTAAAGTGGCGAATAATTAACGAAATGGACCAATCGAGAGCATTAGTTCCAAGTGAAGTTATGCGAGCGCTCCCGGCTAAGTGCCGTTAAAAGAAACTTAGACGTGAGCCCAATTGTTCTTCTGCTGAATTCTTATTGTTTCTGAAACAGTTCGCCTTTCACGTCGGTACAATCGCTGAACATTCCAAGTATATTAATCCGATAATTGCTTAAGAACAATCTCTCGGAAAGTTACACCAACAAGGCGGAATCAAAGGAACTGTAGCGTCAGTTTTGTGTGGAAACTTAGGATTCTTATTAACGCAAATTGTACGCCAAATTAATATGATAATTAATATTATATCAAAGAAATATTCCGAGGAAGTTCAAAACATTTTCAAATAAATGTATATCTAAATGACGCCTTTGGGAACAAACTAACATCCAATATCTTTTTATCTTTACTGTGTAGTTAATGAGCTGAATTAGTTCATTAACTATACACTACAGATTGCGGTTTATGCACATAAGGTAACCGAAAAAATGACCCTCAGCTTTGATACACAACCTGGCAGTATATATCCTTTCGTGACCATAAACGATTTATGTGAAAATATGTGGTGTGGATATGTCATCCAAATGAAGCATGCGATGTTTCGAATTGAACATGGAAAATTAGGAAACCTCACACCAGGGCAGAAAGAGAGAAAGAGATCCGAAAAACTGAAAACCCATTGGTACATGCAATTACGATGGAGAGCCATCGTGAAAACATACAGTAAGCTGCGCGCATTACAATCGTAAGTCAGACGTCTTGATCACTAAACCATTAATCAAGAATACAAGAGATATAAACATTTTTAAATCTCTGTCACACCGGGAAAAAGCAAGAAAAATGTGTAATTGATTTACTTGTTCTACCAAAATGAAAGATTAAATTAATAAAGAATGCAAAACTTGTAATTTTAAAGAAGAAGTCTTAAAACATAATTGTCATTTATTTGCGTGTCATTTAAAACTGCGCGTCCACTACAGATATGATATATTAATGCATTAAGCAAAACGGACACACGCTCTATAACGTCGACCAAATCGAAAGCGGATTGTAGTGAATACGGAGAATAAAACGGCGGGAGCTTTACGATCGATTCAACGGGCACGTCTCGATTTAACAACATACTCCTCAAAGCGATATTGTGATTTCCTTTTCCCCCTGTATGTTTTGTACATTCGAAAATCTGACAGAGTAGCGGCACAATGGTCGCGCGCCCAGTCGGCTTTCGTCGTGACGTAGAGAAAATTAGTTTCAATCCACTGTCCGACCGCAGCCGCCGAGCGGCAATCTGTAAACACGGTATATATTTCGCTGTGGACTTTGGAAAATATCGTTTACAATTTCGCAACCCCACTTTCATAGCCGTAATGCGGTACGTGCTCTGTTTTGGGTTTTGTGTGCAATTCTTACTTTTTGTGTTGAGTTACCACTCGAGTTTTCCGTTGTTCCACAGTTGTGGCGTGGACGGATCGCATCGAGCATCAAACTTTTCAATTTACTCTTTAAATGAATATCTCTAATCGTACGATCAAGACATGATAACTTAAGAAAAACCGTCGCTAATCCAATTTTAAAAACATTTTCTTTATTAATTTATTCGTGTTTCTTAAGGCAATATTCTTTACCTATCACAAGTTTTAATAAGTTTAAGTATAAAATAAATAAAATTGATAATTTTTTATTGGGGCAAAATTATTAAAGTAATAAGATACTGTAGTGTTATTTATTAATTACTCTCACCAAATATTTTCAGTATATAATTTTTTTGTACTAGTTCTTTTTTCAATATTTAAGCGTGTAAGAATAGGTGTAATACAGTTCATTATCATAATTTATTCACCTTAAAATTACTAAAATTTATCACACAAACAACAAATTTACATAACGACATTGTGTTTAGACAATAAAAAAAATTACAACGCATTTTCTTCGTTACCGTTATTTAAAATACAGCCGCTTACGTTACGCTTGAGTACGCCTATCTTAAAAAAGATCTAAAAAGATCTTTAATCTGATGCTTGTGTAGAAAAGGCAACATACTTTGTTAAAGATGACGCAATAAATCTAAGATAATCTAAGATACACTCCTTTTATCTAATGGTAACTAATGTCTATCTTAAGCTAATAGGTAAACATGACATATATTTTAACTTAGTCTTCGACAGTTCCCAACAAAGGGAGTTAAAAACTCTCATTTTTTTTTACTAATTAACTTATATATTTTTTACCTTCAATCCCAAGAAACAGTCTTGTATGGGTCCATTGATTATCGTAGATATCTTTACTATATATCATAGGTCGCCGGCTCGATTCCGAATATCTGTATGGCCTACTCGTACACATACATATTTATTCCGGATCTGGGTGGTAAAAAACACATTATCATACCCCATAGTAGTAGGTAACGTTTGTCTTTTTTTTAAATAATATGTTTTGCCTCGTTAAACAGTATTTGCGTAATAAGGAACGGCGTGCTAGTTAAATACGTTAAGAAGACGGTCGACCCATTACAGTTTCATCTAACAATCGAACTTTTAATTGCACAATCAATTCCATAACCGACGAAGTTTCCGAAACCAATTTAGTCACACACGCGAAAGATGCAACGCTAATGAACTGAAACAAACCGAGGCCCTTCATTTCGAGCGACGTTTGTTCGCTGACGGCCAGTTACAATATTCAATCTACAGATAGATTTGGTTACTAGCGACAGGTACTTGACATTAGCTCTACAATACTTACGTCAAAATCCTATCTCCAGTCACCAAAACTATCTGTAGATCGAATATTGAAACCGGCCGTTAAACGAACAAAGGGTACTCCTGTCGTTTGGAATATTAATGTGCCGTTCAATATTTATGTTGGACGCAAATTTGCATAATCACAGGCTGGACGCGGGCGTACACACGGGCGCACTCTTCGGCGAATCACTAATATGCCAATAAAATTTGCGCGAATGAACGGCCGCGCATTCGGTTTCTTCATCGGCCTCCCCGTTTATTCCACAATGATAAATGCACTTTAACATTTTACGCACGCCTTTTTCCCGCCAGTCAAATATTTATCGTGTATTTTTTGGAACTTTCGCAATAAGGCACACTCGCTGTGCTGTATGGTGCGTATCAGCTATTAACAACTGAGATTTCGTTCCAAGTGTGGTGATGGATTGGTCCTAAAATGCCATTCGCGATATGTGCAATTACTAAAAAAAATTCAACACATCTCAAAGATAGGTAAGCAACTGGCTTACCGTTATACGACCCCATTGGCGTAGTGGATAGTATGCCTCTCTCTGGCGCTAGAGAGTGTAGATTCGATCCTGAAATGTTGTGTAATGAACGTAGTGTTTTTCGAGATTTTAAGTTTCTGGGTATTACTATATCTATAACAGTTATTCGTTTACAATAAAATATATTGTTGAGTATATTCAACAGTTACCCAATTTTTAGGTAACTGATGAATATACCAGTTCCTATATACCTAGCTATAGAAGTAGCTTGCTATGTGACACAAAGTTATCTAGAACTTTCTGTATATAAGTCCCGTAAATATTAATAATGTGTTTTAATTAAGAAATCTCAATACGAAACAATGTAACTCATGCATAAAGTAAAAGAGCAAAGTAAGAAAACCTGTATATGTCCCGGTGCTGTGCAAAGGCTTCTATAATACTGAGCTTAAAGTTATTTAAAACAAATTAAATAAACTTAAAAATCCAACATGCTTATGATTGCAAGGCATCCTACCCATTAATAATTAGAAGTATATTGTAATTGAACAGTAATAAATCATCGATGAAGATTTAAAATAATGTTTGCTCGCAAACAGAATATTGCCAATTTATTAATTGCAATTATTTTAACAGCACTTCGACTGCCGTAACCACGTTCGAGTCATCCAGCCGATGGGGGATGGATCGAGGCTTTACGTCTGCGGTACCAACGCCCATAGCCCGAAGGATTGGGTTTTATATGTAAGTAAAAAACATCTATTTCTTTGTATTCAATACACATTTAACCGTACAATATTTCTGGAGCAGTGTTATTTAATGTACGATAAAATAATTTTCATTGCTTATTACATTCAGTATATTAGTTTGCATATAAAAATGTTATTATAGTGCTTTGCCGTGTTCTATATAGCTAATTTATTCAATAAACGCTAGAAATAAAATAAAACGTTAGTATATATAGCCTATCTATGAGGTCGATTAGAGACAACCCCATCATTAAAATTGGCGTGCCGCCAAAGATGCAACAGTTCCGAAGGGATTGAACATGTTATTTTCACAAAGAAGAAAAGATGAGATATTTAATACACCTTTAACAGGTACTCATTTTACTCCGGTTGCATTGAAGTAGGTACGGTGACTTCGCGCCAGGAACCGCGACAAATTTCATGGCTACTGATTTCAAATGACGTCGTAAGACGAGACCGGATTTTTCCCCGTCGCCAGAGAAATTTCTAACCGAACAACTCCGTTAGGGCCCGTTTCTAGTGACGAATACTCAGCGCGAACGTATTCAGCCGCGGTAAACCTTTCGAAATTCAAATTTTCAATATTTAATATACCACGAATGCACGATACGTTCTCGTTGTGACCACAGTCACCGCGCTGTACACTCTACTGATGAGCAGCGTTACATTCGTGAAATTATTTTTAGGGTTCCGTAACCAAAGGGTATAACCGCACCCTCTAACTAAGACTCCGCTGTCTGTCTGTCTATCTGTCCATCCGTCGGTCACCAGGCTGTTAGACAGTTGAATTTTTCACATATGATGTATTTCTATTGCCACCGTAACAACAAATACTAAAAAACAGAATAAACAATATTTGGCCGGTTTTTTAAAAGTCGTAAAACTGCTTCAACAATAGGTATCGAAAGCAGACCGCAATAAATTTGCCGTGCCCCGTTCACCTCACGCCAGCCCTGCACTTGACTTTCATATAATTTTATGATGTATCGGGTCGTTTTGACCCTTCTCACACCCGTGGAACATTTCTAGAAGGTAACATCGCAAATTTTCTATCAAAAGTATGAATAGGTTGAGTGTCTGAGCATAAAATGAAATTTAAGCTCGGATAGTGCATCCTGTTCGAGGCCGGGTACTTCACGGTGCCCGTTCAATGGGCGATAAAAATGTATTTAAATGACGTTGACAGCGAGGCGAAAATATTTTCTGATTCCGGGCGGGAGAAAATTCGAGTCTTCTCTTGGTCTTATTTCTTCACATATAGCTGAAGAATGGAATAATAATAAGAATTTAGTTGTAAAAAAATCATTAATTTCATAGGAAGAAAATCTTAAAAATAAAAAAAAGGAATTTGGGAAAACAAACTTTTTACATGAAGTAGGTGAGACCATAGCTGAATATATTATGGACAGGAACCAATTTCCGTCTTAAACCTATTTTCCCAAACACCTATGTTTCTTAGAATAACTGTTATATCTGTAATAAATAACAATTAGACTAAATACTTGACTGTTTAAAAACATATCGCGACTCTACTACGCCATCGTAGACGATTTTCTAATCTTAAACAAGTTAGTTAATTAATAAAGTATATGTCAACATATTTTGTTAAGGTATAATATAGGCTTTTGAAAATTTATTAATTCTGTTGGAAAGGGGCCGTTGAATGTAGTGTTTATACAAACCGGACAGTGTTGTGCTCCGAACAAACTGTGAAAATAGAGATAGTGGCGGTTGTTGTCAACGATATAATGGTGTTCCCTATTATCAATCAATTTACATAAATGTAAATTGATTGACTTTTATATATATATCGCTTATTATGGCTATACAAATAGTTTTTTTTTTCAACTACTCTGAAAAGTAAAAAATTGACAAATCTTTAAAAAGGAATGAATGATTTAAATAAAAATGAACGAGTAAGAAGAAGGCTATTGCACCAAACCGCTGCCATTTTATTGAAAACAGAAAAATTGATACTCAACTAATACAATTTAAGGGCACTTTGACGTAATCTGTGATTTGAGAAATGCGTTCCCACCCTCCGGAGGGTAAGGGCGCGTCAGTTTCAAAAATTGAGTGAAATCACATGTATGCAATTGATAGGGAGAATTCCACTTGCTGCGGACGCGCTGAGCTGATGGAAAATCGACCGAACAATTCATATTTGTTGCAACCGCCAATTTATATCTGCTCTGTAACAAATGGCCGTGCGCTATTGGGCGCGCATTGAAGACAAATCACAATAGCAATTGGGCCCCCATCACTTGACTTCTATTGTTTCTCTTTCCTTATTGTACTCGTGGCTCTATTGATTTGTGTTAAAGGTTTTAAACTGTTAGCAATCGGATGATGTAAAAATTTTGGAGAGCTTTTTTATGTATGAAAATGGCAAGCGAATGGGCAGTTCGCCTGATGATAAGTGATTCCGATGACATATTTTACAACACCCGTGGCTACAAATGCGTTGCCACCTTTCAATAAAGTTTTTAAGAGCACGTTTTTTTTATAATTTTTACTCAAACATAGCATTCCATAAGTACACACACATTATAATTACATGAGTTTGCTCCGGGTAAGAACTGAGAACAAGAGCAATAGTCTTCGTTGACTTATTTTGAATAGCGCTCATAAAAGAATACGAGAATTATCGAAATTTTCATAGTTGTCACAAAAAATCAAATTGAATAAACCGGGAGATGTATAAAATTATTTAAAAAATTACATACAAACCTGTTAGAGTAGCGATTTATTTCGTACAAACGGACAAAAGTATCAGTCGTTTGTTACCGATTACGCAGCAATAACAATAGAACAATTTGTATACCGAGCAGATTTAAAACACATAGCATTTATCTTGTTCGAATAAAACGCGATAAGCCCCGCTTATTGATTGTTCCCATTTAAATTGAAAACGTGAATCTGTTCCTCGTCACAAGAATCAAATGATTTGAAACAATAAAATACGATTTGGCCGCTACGCGTTCATTGATTTACTAAAAAGGTTCAAATAAAATCTGCGAGAGGCGTTTTAATGCAAATTAGTTCTGATAGGCTATTTAAGTATAATCTTTATATATTTATTTATTTTTATTTTTCTGTAACATGTATTAAAACTGCTTAAAAATTTCTGCTTGATAAAAATGTAAATGAAAAGCAATATGTCCCTCCTCGATACAGGCTTGCCTAATGAGGAGACAACAGATATTAAGATTATACATCAAAGAGTTTCAGCAAATTGTACTTAAGGAAAGTTTTGTATATGTTATTTATAAGTTGAAATTTCCTTTTCCAATTCGTAGTGTTTTTGCTGTAAATAAATGCTATTATTCTATGTAATTCTTCTGTACGTGTGTATGTCACTGAACTCCTCCTGAACGGCAGGACCGATTTTAATGAAATTTGAGAATGGTTTAGATTCACAGTTCGTTTTTTTTCTTTTGTTTTTTTTTTATTTATGTGTTGTTTTCAGTTTTAAGTGTACAGGACAACATCTGTTGGGTCGCCGGTAGTAGTAATATAAGAAGTAAATACATAATAGGATTTTAATATGACAAATTCGCTTCATTGCCTACTATCAATTCTCAGTTTTTTGTTAAAAGTTAGCGATGGAAGTTAAAAGGTTTAGAAAGAACGTTCTTATTTTAAAGATTTTAAGTATTTTTTAAGTTACGCAAATCGTTTTCAAAAGCCCTTAAGCATCTGTTCTGCCTTAATTTAAATTACTGGCCACACAAACTGAACAACGGTTTTTATTACCAGGTAATACCATGTATTCTTTTTAAGCGGTAGGGAAAGAATGACATGTGAATATACGAAGGGCACATGAAATTAAATACATTATTTAGTCGATAAATATCGCTTTAGCATAGTGTAAACTTATATCTATGTTCATTTTAATTATATAAAAATAATTGTGCGATACATATGCGTATTAAAGTTTTTCATTTAACCTTTCTTCTTCTTTCTCCTGCATTTATTAACATATGAATATATTGGCTTAGTTTTATTGGAACCGGCTTCTGGCCTGACGTCAACCCTCTTTGGGAATAAACACCCAGATCCAGAACAGTTATCTGCGGGTCACACAAATACTCGACCTGTAAATTTGTAAACTTTTACTGGGAATCGAACCCACGACCGAAAGCGAAAGCATGATAATTGCGCCACAAAGTCATCTCGGCCAAATTTAATTAAACCTTTACCAAATGCATTTTTTGTGTTTATTTTTTTACACTGATCCGCCTATATATTAAAGACAAAACCTTGTACGCAACCTCTAAATGCGCGTGACTTGAAAAATTACAAAAGTATATTTCATTGGCAAGGAATGGTCGCTTATAGAGATAGTTCCCAATTTTATCTAATTCCATTTGTATTTGTACAAATTAAGTAAATTATTATAAAAATAAGCGAGAGAGAATAATGAATGCAATAAAAACAACTTCTTATAGTTCTGATTTGATTTAACTCTTTAAATGAATATTTCATTTTGTAATTTATAAAACTACAGAAACTTAAGCACCATTTTGTATAATGTTAATTATGATTGGTGCAAAAAATATAACTTCATTTAATTATTTAACGTTTCTATATTCTAGAAACGTACGATAATATTGTTATAAGTTCATTGTTGCGTAGTCAACTCAACTAGGCATCACGAAATTATTCTGAAAATTGCCTGGGAGGCGTACGTGTGTAGTTTGCTTAAATTAGGAACAAACTTCTAGCTAAGCCCCGAGTATAAAGGAACTCCATTAGATGTGTGTGGTTCGTTGAGGCGCTTTTATTTCAATTGCTAAACTATTCCATCACATCCGTCGTCCAACTGAGCGGTTGGCTGCAATAAAATATTCGGCTGGGAGAAATTCGCACAGTTTTGAGCTTTACTATCGATTACAATGGACACACGATTAACATTTCTGTCCTAAGCTTTTGCCTGTATAATTATGTTTTTATATTTTGTTTAGCCCTTATCCTATTTTAAAATACGAAGCCAATTAAATTAATAAACCTTAGCTAACCGAACCCGTCCACGCTTGGTTGTAACATTTTTTTTAGATTCCATTGGAACTTCGGAATGTATGTGAAAGCACTCCTATTCAATAGCTATGCTGTGAACAAAATATGTTACGTCAATCCATCTACTAGTTATTGATTTTGTGTTTTCTGTGAACTCAAACATACGAAAGTTATATACAAAGAAGATTGCCCTATCTGTTTTAGTGTATTTTGATATGGCAATTTAATTTGTAATTTTCTTTTAAATAAAATATATCGAATCCATCGTTTTATACATTCCGTACAAATTACGTATGATAGTTTCTAATTTGGTACTTAAATGCGTATAACGTTTTGTTCTATTAATATAAAATAGGGGCATAATTAAATAAGTAATTGCTACTCGCGATGTGAAATTTATATTTTTTTAATTATATATTACCGAGCTTACCGCGAAAGGGAAAACTTAATTGAAGTGAACGTTTTAAACATGAATGTATGTTACGACTCTTACGGGTTAAAAGCGACTTTATAGGCTGGCTGTAGGGTGTCTTACAAGAATGTTCACGTCATTATCGTAATTATGGCGAAAACCCGACGCCGGGACGGCGATGTTGAGTGCACTTCGCAAAATCACTTTATAAGCCATGCAGTGCCGCATTCAACCACCATGCAGATCCTGTACAACCATTTTTGTGCGCGTCTACTCGCCCCTCGTTAAACTTAATGGAAACTATATCTTACGCACTAAGAATTAAGCACTTGTAATTCACTCATATTTTTTATAAACTTTTCCCCCGCTTTATTTTATTTCTATCGAATAAAAAAGCTCATTTTTTTATTTAAAAACTTAATTCAGCGTTTTTTAATTAAATAAATATATTTTTAAACTAAAACGGTGGAGTACTCCTGTGCCGGCTTAGGGGAATTCAAACCTGTCTTAAGATTAACGGACAACGTACTTAATATTAAATTAATGTTAGAAAGGTAAACAGGCCTTTGCTGGTTTTTATTTTGATGATTTGCTTTAAGGACAACAAGGGGCTCTCCATATGGACGGATATTCGGTGCACCCTCGGTTATATATTCACACGAGTTATGTATACCCGAGTGACAGTATTTGTGTGCCTAAAACGTGCTCATATTTCACGTGGCACTATTGCAGTGCACAGGTGCTTTATCTGTCCCATCCAGAATTAGGAGCCAATATTGTCTACGCTCTGTTACTACCAGCATTTGTTTCAGACTAACACCGCGTTAGTACGTAGTTCACTATGACAAAGGGCCTTTGAAAAACAATCGATGAATTTCCTTTCATAATAGAATAAATTTAAAAATCAAAAGGTTTGTATTTTAAAACAAAAATTAATGAAATTAGTGGTTTTAAAGAATATAAAAACAGTAATAATTACAAATTGTACGTATATCGTAAATCTTCTGTAAAACTAATCATTATCAAATGTTAACATCATCTAATGCTTAGCTTTGTTCGAGGGAATTTTCATGTACAATTATTTAGCATAAATTACGATGCCATAATAAATTTCAGGCATGTCCCAGTCATTAGCTGATAGTGACATCGTTGCCGAACTTCTCCTTCGGCGCAATCTCGCAAATTCGAAAATCCTTTGTGCGTCCAAAACTTATGCCCGCTCGATACTCAAAGGGGGATATAATAATATAACTTAAATGTAATCACGCTGTCGCAATCGTATCTCAAACAAATGTTGGTGATAGCATTAATTTTGCCATCCATTATATTATTTAATGAAAATTTATATTATTCTCCAAATTGTTTAATAATAAAAATTGATTTTTTATAAACTAACGCCAAATTTTAATTATTAGCGCTGTGATTCCAATAAAAGCGTTGATTTCTAGACAACATTGCAAGAACAAACCTACTTCCAAATTAAACAGTTGCCATCATCATGATCGATTTGTTTTTCTTTCCCTCATGCGAAACCATCCCAAAACCCGTATTGTCAGGAATATTTTTTATGCATATAAGTGACGAGCAAACCAGCGTTTCACCTTTTTTAATAGATTATAGTCACCCATGGATATTTACAATACCAATCATGTAGATTACATTGGAAGGTTTAAAAGAATAAGAACCGGTTATTTCTCTCACCGGTCTAACGTAGAAGTATAATACTTCCACTTCACTCTTGTCTTCTTTGAGTCCGTAACACTTCCCCGGATGAGCACGCCCACCGTTGTTTAAGTTTAATCATCGTAATGTTTCTTGTTTCTTTAATTCCTAATCTGGCTTTTTAGAATATTTAATCAAGGCAACATATATTTCAGTATAGATACAGCCATAAACCATTACAAAACTTTAAATCTATAATCTAGCGTATCTACATATAACATCAATCACAGCAGATGCAATAACGGGTACGAAAATATTTATACTGCATTGGCATACTGATTTCTCATTTCATATTCTGTCACAATCTTCCGCTAAAATGGAATTTCGAAACGTACATTACAGCGAATGTCTCAGAAGTTTCGCTCCGCTCGCAGAATGTATTCACAATGTATTGGGAAGCCATTGCCGTGTGTCATACGAGGTACGTACTCGTATCTTCAGGTGCCAACTATCGGCGCTCCGACTCAGTTTTATTTTATGTTAGCGCTGTGGAAGTGTTAAAGTCCAGTTTGCATGTGCATTTCGAATTTCACGGTGGGAATTTGCGGCCGCGGTTACGCGCCGTTTGCCTCCATTTCGGCTCGCGAATATTTCGCTACCGAGGAGGCGATAACTGAATTCTTTATCGCTTACCGCGTGACTCCTCGCCGTTATGCGGAAACCTCTATGGGAATATATGCGCGCTTATTATTTCGAACGTCCGTATAGAGAGAGCTTAATCGTACAACATCCATTTGTACAGTTAAAATAAAAGTTTTAGAAGCGAAAAGTTTTCAATAATTTCAAACACTACCTCAAAATGCTAAATATAGAATTACATACGCATATTTTGAACAGGTTCTTAAAATATAATTTTTTTTCAAACTTTTAACTTTCATGGAGGAATTTGTCAAGTTTACCGCTAGTTGCAGACTACTTCAGTATAAAAAAATATAATTTATCACAATCAAGCATTGTCTTCGTAAACTATAGCGCAAATAAAATTTGAAGCGAAAATACAACAACGTTAAAAGGCGTAGGGCTCATTGCCCGCTTTCAAAAACTTTTACGCCACAGCACAACAATCAAAAACACATTTAGAGTGAGACGGCAAAAAAATATTCAAATGCGAAAGGGAACAAAGACTTAAATCCCAGCGACGAACTTTCACTCAATGCGCCGTCATTACTCCGTCACTGTTCGATTCGTTTCGGCTGTGAAAAGCTTCGCCGATGCTAATTCCATAAACAAACAATAGCGGGCGCCTAATGAAGGGTCCGCCGAGCGAACTTTCTTATTCTGCTCGGGGAAGGCCCGGAGCTCTTCCGTCCGATCCATTTGCTTGTTTATCCTGGACTTAGAGGCCCGGGCGGGCGCTGCGGGGAAATAATGTGCTGCCCGGAAACTGCGGTCCGTAGCTACGTGCAAAGTTCGCGCGAAGTATTTAACAACGCTTCGGACGCGCTGCGGTGTTTCCCGTGGTGTGCGTGCCGCGAGGAGAAGGACACATGACTGTGTTGCTATTAGAGACGTCTATTGCAAATTTCTATATTTTCGTCGAGGTCTTCCAATTTTGCAATCGCTTGAGGTAAAGGTTTAAAATTTAATAATAGATTATTATTTACCCGAATATCATATATTGTTGTTTTATAGTCTTTATTGTGATAAAGACTGTGGTGGAAGAAGTGTGGAAGTTAAACATTAAAAACTAAAATAAAATGCGATATAATAAATACAAACATCCATCTGATAGTGCTATTTCACTATAAATGTATATTTATTTATTCTGGTTTAAAGAGAAATACAAATATGTTAACCTAAACTTAAGCGATAGGATACAGATTAAGTTCTTACATACTCTCGAACCTTTTTAAATAACCGCACGAACACGACAAAACTTTGAAACTCGACCCCACGTCACGTGGAATTCAAGGGAAGAATAGCGGAGAGAAACCACTCCTTGCGCGTACCCCACGTCACTCGGCCGCGGGCACGTCCTCATGCCTAATTTAATCCTCGGCTTATTGAAATAAAAACGACATAGGTTTTCGACAGGTGCCGCGGGCGAGGTCCCGCTGTGCGGGGCGGAGGGGAGGGAGGGTCACAGGTGGCCCCGATGGTCGCAGCGTCGTTAAAATTTACATAAAGTCTCAATCCACGACGTCGGGCGCGCTGCCCGCCCCACGCTCACGCTACATTTAGTAATTTTATGATAATTTCGGAAAACCTTACCGCCACCCATCGCATTATACTAATAGACCCGCCTCTCCGTACGTTCGGCGCCCGGCGACGCGACGTCGAAAATACTCGAATGCCTAGGAAATAATAAGAGCCGCTCCATAAATCGCACGGAACGTGTGGTGGACGTGTATTTTTTTTTTCATTTCGCAAAAATTAATAGCAAATGCGCTGTCGAGTGGGGCCCAGGGGTGGCCAGTTGCGCTCCAGCCCGACGCATAAATCGTCTCATCTCGGCGCGGGTGATTTTTTTTTTATTTTCCTAGATCTGATTAATAGCGAATAAATTTGAAGTGTTCGACCGTAAAATTTTTAATATTTAACTTGTAACGGCGCCCCACGCCGGCGGGGGTACAGTGGCGGGGAGCGGATCCAATTCCATGCAAATGGATACCTGGGCGCTCGTTAAAAGAACCGTTCACACTTAGCAGCGGACGAGGCGAGTGGGGCGAGGAGAGTAAACGCTGCTGTTTTCGTTGCAGTCCAACCTGACGCACCTGCCGCGCCACGAGTACGTGCCGGGAATAGGGATGGGCATAGCGAAGTGCCCCTACGACCCGGCGGACAACTCCACCGCGCTGTGGGTGGAGCGCGGCAACCCTGGCAGCCTGCCCGCCCTCTACTCGGGCACCAACGCCGAGTTCACCAAGGCGGACACGGTGATCTTCCGCACCGACCTGCACAACTTGACCACCGGCCGACGCGAGTTCTCCTACAAGAGGACCCTCAAATACGACTCCAAATGGCTTGACAGTGAGTAGAAAACGTACAAAACGGAAATGAGCAGTGCGGATTTTGGGTTACTCTTACCTGTATCAATTTCATCGTCTTGGAGTATAAAATAGAATTTTCAAAATATTCTTTTTTTTTCTTTATTGTACACACAATATAAAATATACAGTTGAAACAAGTGACAAGAAACATGTACAAAAGCGATTCCTGTGAAAGAAGAAAAAATTACTCTGATTAATAAGTAATTTAAAATTTGGTGGTAATATTTACCTCATTATATTATAGTTTAGTGATAGCATAGTGTTCGGGCGTTCGCTTTTAATTTAATTTACTCGAGCAACCTGAATTCAAATCCCGGTGCCGACACCAATGAAATTGTTAATTGCAGTTTTAACTGCTGACTTATCTTGAGGAAACCTGCTTATTTTAAAAACATGGTACATAGGCTGTTACTTTACTTTACTTTTCACTTTACGTTAATAAATATTTTATACATATTTGCATAAACTCTTTAATTGTCGTTAATAATCTCCGTACCGCAAGCGTAAAATAATTACCATAAAAATTCCCCTAATAAATCGAATCTAGGCCATGAATCGCGCGCTAATTGTTCGGGAAGGATGCTCGATGAATTCACAAATCAGTGAAATGATTGAAAATCGGAACGTCACTAATCAGCAATCAACGACCGCCCCAGGCGCGCGCTCCGGTAATCATTAGGACTATTGTTACAATTATCGGCGCTGACACGATTTAGACTGGAATTGGCCTGTTTGCGACTAAACAATGGAAATTAAACTGCAACCCACTCTAACGAGCTGTAATATGCCTTGGATCTTCGCACGTTCCATTTGTACGCGCAATAACGCGGCGGTCGAAATTGTACCGTGACAAATTCGCTTAATTATATTTAATGTCATATTGTTCATTACACGGACCTTAATTGTTGGTACTCGGCCATTAATATGATTATGTTCGTACGTATATCGTTGGATTTAATGAATACTTTAATCCCCTGTTGTAAACTTGGAACGCTATCTGCGTAATGCCAGCCTAAAGCGTTACCATATCGACGGATATTAACAAACTTTCGTAAAAACGTAAGCTAAATCGATTTTAAAGTATTAATTACATGAATGTGTTAAAGTGAAGTATTTTTAGCCGACTTCAAAAAGGAGAATATTCAATAAGGAGTAATATCAATTGGGATGTTTATAATATGTTTTTATGTATGTTCGGGCATAACCCAATCATTCATATATAGACGAGTTTGCAAAATTCTTTATTTTGTTAAGTTTTTACCGAAATTCATCATTTTTTTTTTCTGAAAAATTCACATTAATTTACTAAATATTAATAAATGGATATATTTTATCCTCTTTTCAAATCATTTGCTACCGCAATATCATGATCATTCTGTCAATCTGACAATTTAAAACTATTGCCTCTTTGTAATCATGTATTTACATAAAAAATTTTGGGTTTCTACACTCTTTGTCCACATAAACTTTAATTACATCCAAACCCACAATAATGTATAAATAAGATATTAAATGTAAATAGACGCGAATAATAGTAGACACTTAAATCTTAATTGTGAGCTTAACTTTTTCCTATATTAAAATTTTAATTCAAATTCAACGGTTACAATTTTTACAATTTTTTTTTAATTATATAACGATACCTGAGCTTAGTATTTATGTAATTTTATTTTATATATATATTCGTGGTTTTCATCTCTAGAAAAGTCAATAAACAATCTAAAAATTAATATATATATGCACATGTCACTATACTCCCAGAATTCCATTAACTCAATTTATTTGTAACGATTTTACATACATACAGATAAATACATATAGATATGACATAAACGTTTCCTACAGGTTATTAATCAAAACAAGCGTCGGCTCAATCCATAAACAACCGGGCGTGCAATATTCATCAACAAATAACCCGATTTATCGACCCTATTAATTATGATGGAGCTAAATAATTTATTGCTCAATAATTTTAAAGTGCCGAAGCCTTATTAAAATTGAAATCTGGCCGGGACTTACGTTCGGCTTTGTTGCTATGCATCAGCACAGGGACATAACTGTTGAAGTACTTTGGGTAAAAAGATATTGCTCGGAGATCGCGTGTCCATAATCCTAGACACGTGGCTAGTTCATTATGCGACCAACAAATAAGCACATATTAATGCGAGCTATAAATACCCTGTATAGAATTACGTATACGGCTTCATTTATTATTTATTGCACATTACACAATAACAGGACATTCAATATTGTGTTAATAACTTAGGAATGGGAACGTAGCAATATCCATTCCAATGAAATTTATTTTATATAGGTTCGTACTTTATATATCGTTTATATGATCATGTTTTGAATTATTTCATAACCATAGCAATAAATGTAAATTTTTGAATCCGTAAGTTATTATAAATAATCAAGTTTAACTATTACATGTGTTTGTCCGCGTGAAATTTTTGTTTGTAAAACGTCCTTACAACACAGGATAATTTTATCCTAAAGTAAGGGCACGGTATAAAAATAAAATATATGGTTGTGTTCTAATAAATTCCGATCTGAAAGTGCCATTTATTTAAACATCTGTTACATTTGTAGCTGATCAGTGGAATAAAAATGCTGTTATCAGTAAAATAAACAACTATATTTAAAACTTAAACCATCTTTTGACAAAACTTGAAGAACGGAAGATCTTTCTATTGTTTGATGATGTAATTGAAACGTCATTTGTTCTTCGCTTAGAACCAAACTTCGTGGGTTCGTTCGACGTTGGCGAGTACGTCCTGTTCTTCTTCCGTGAAACGGCGGTCGAGTACATCAACTGCGGCAAAGCGGTGTACTCGAGGGTCGCTAGAGTGTGCAAACGGGACACGGGCGGCAAGAACATTCTCAACCAGAACTGGGCTACTTATTTGAAAGCGAGGCTCAACTGCAGCATCCCCGGGGAGTTCCCGTTCTACTTCAACGAGATTCGTAAGTATTCGTTGCTGTTCATAAAATTCTATGATTCCAAATGTTTTATGAAGGAATTGACGGAGCGTGTGTCAGTTTGTATATATTTGGCATAGATACGACTAGGGTTGAAGTATAAAGGATATTAAATAAATACATTCAAATTCACTGTCATTCAATCAAGTTACGTAAGTAATCTTTTCTATAAGTTACGTGAACTGCTTTCGATAACCGATATTGGGTAGGATAAAACGAGTTTATCAATTCGACAAAAAAATTAAACTGAAAATTTGCACTGTTAACTTGTCTCCCTCCGCACATCGACAAAAGCCTCATATTATTTCACCGCTGGCTCTAATTCCGGAAAATCGCGTGTGAATCTCATTGCCTGAGTTGCATACAGCTGCGAATTCGATTGACCTTAGCGAGATTTCAACGGTGGAAGTCTATCCAATTTCTTTCGATTCTGGAATCCGAACCATCCAGTTGCTTTCATTTAATATTAACGTGCGTAGTTCGAGCGTCGCCATGGTTTTTCGCGCGCCCCCTACTGTATTCTCCGCATATCTCATGACTTCAATATAGGTTATCCCTGCGTTAGCTATTTGGGATGTGTGCGTTGTTTGAATAATTGTACATCATTAATCAAGAACGTACCAATATAAGTTTTAAAATCTCTCTTCATTCCAAAATATGACAGCGTGTATCTGAAATTATTTCTAGTGGATATTTAATGTACAATAATTGGTATTAATAATTTTCGAATAAACTCGAGCATACTAGCAAACTAATGTAAGTAGTATTAATCAAAATTTTGAGATTGACATCTATTATTGCGGAAACTGCGTGGTTTAATTGTCACTGTAACTTTCGGTGACATCGAGATATAAAGTTCGTGTGACACAATTACAACAATTTGATAGTCGACTCTCATAACTTTTGACAAGCAAGAACAAATTAGACTTCGTGACGGCACTTAATAATTTTCCGGCTCAGTTTTTGAACCGTTTAATATGCAAATTATATTTAACTTGTTACGTCTGCAGTAATACCAAAATCTTAAGGCATTTCTTAATATTCTTAAGGATATACATCCAAGTTCTGTGTGTTAATGTTGTTTTTTTAAATGCCTTTCTATCTTTCTAATTTAACCATAGACCGCAAATATTTCAAATCTTAAAAAAAATATGGTTATTTAATTTAGGTTTGCTTCTAAAACATTCAGCATTGCAAAATATTCGTCATAGTCCTAATTTGATATTGGATTTAAGATTGAAATTCTTCATGAAGTTACTTGATCTAATCGATTTGAATTTCGTTAACAGAGAGCATTTACAAAGTTCCTGGAGATGACAGCCGCTTTTACGGTGTGTTCACAACCGCGTCCACCGGTTTGATGGGGTCGGCAATCTGCACGTTCACCATCAGCGACATCCAGAAAGCTTTCGAGGGGAAATTCAAGGAGCAAGCCACTTCCAGCTCGGCCTGGCTGCCCGTGATAAGCAGTAGAGTTCCAGAACCCAGACCTGGCACCTGCGTCAATGACACCTCGTCGCTGCCGGACACCGTGCTGAATTTCATAAGGTCAGCTCGTTTTACTGACCATTAGATTTCTTTTTCGTTTATTGAGAAGAGGGAATGTTTATTATATGTTGACTGCTTGAACCACAGTCACGCTTTTAAAGATAGCTTTTTTTATGTTGGTTGTGTTTGGCGAAATTGTAAAAATTCACAATCCATCGGCGTATTCTTCAGCTCGGTACTCGATAAAATCGAAAACACAAAAGGATAAAAACGGACAAATTTCACGCACAACATATTTCAGATGCCGCGGCAACGTTATATTAAAAAAATATACTCACTTCGCACGGGTGCCGCGGTTGCGCGCCGTCGTGTGCGAATTTAATTAGTTAAGTGACACTAAAGTGCCGCGCGAACATCGCCCGCTCGTCATCAGGCATTGTCACGGGAGGGTAGAGCGCAAACAGACCGACAATCGGCGTTTAAATCCTGCGAGCGCCCGGTTTGTACTGCGAGGTCTCCAGCGATCTCGGAGCCCTCGTTGATATCCACAGGCACTTTTATCTGGCGACACGTCCTGTTAATTATCCGACGCTCTCGCTCCGAGAGTGTTCAATTATTATTTTTTCATCCCCCCCTCCATCCCCTCGACCTCCACTTTTCACGAGACTCGCGTCGAAACGTTGAGATTTTAGCACTTCACCTGAAACAGTCTGCTGGAAACAGTCACGTGTCTATTTTTTTTTTATTTGTGCTTGTGAGTTTGAGTTTTAATTAAACGAGTGAACGATTTCTCGTTGTGCGTATCGGTGTAAGAGATTTACAAGTGCGCCGACGAGTGCGATGTCGCTACAGTAATCACAAACACTTCCTCGCGTTGTTTAAATATTCAATAACACTATATTATTATATATATTTCTATTACTTTTATTTAAATTTAGCAAGCATTATTTATGCACATAAAGAATCGATTAGAAATTCTGTTATAATCACTGCTTATTGGCCAATATCACTAATTATAACATATATGCATCATTACGAAGATACACATTATTGATTACATTTTATTAGAATTAAAATTCTAGACGTTACCAATATTCAGCAGCATTAATGTTGCAATTATTTTGTTATCTAGACAGCGTCATCTTAGTTACTTTTTTTGCAACAGATCCCACCCATTGATGGACAGCGCCGTATCGCACGAAAACGAGAAGCCGATATACTACAAGAGGGATTTATTCTTCACGAGGCTTGTGGTTGACCGGGTTAGAGTGGACATGCTTGGCCACCAATTGGAGTACACGGTGTACTACGCCGGCACAAGTAAGTCAACCAAACATATATAAATTTCAACTTCATTATAGCAAGACCTAACAAACAACTTCTCCAGAGAGCAAAATAGGATGATCGCGGTTAAACGTGTATTCGTGTTTTTATAATAAAATATGACACATCGATACAAAATCATACAAAGTGGAGGCTTACAAGTGCAAAGTAAAACTCAGAGAAAAATCTCTGTACTAATTTTCATCTCATCTTAGTCCTTAATCGTCCAGTATCATCACTCAAGATCGAAGATTAAAGAGAAGATTAAAGATTAAAGACCTTGACTAGTTTGAAACTTAAAAATGTGTTAAAACTATCTGCATTCAGTAATTGGCTAACATTATTTGACGTTTTAGTGATCACAGTAACGATCGAGTCTTTAAGAAATTACTGAACGACTACCCATTAGGGCGTAACCGAAATGAATTCACAACAAAACAAAACAAACTCTCACGTCCTTCCGCGGTTATATTTGCATAATAAAATATAAGCTATACAGTATGCTCTGTCCGAAAGGGCAAAACAACGTTTGCCAGGATATGCAATAATAAAGCAAACTCTCGAACTGCTGTTTAGCCTGAAGAGTGCACAAAGGATCGAACACATTCGCCCGTCTGAGCTCATTTTTTACCGGAATTGTGAACCTAGCGGGAACGCCCATTGCAGAAGGTGCTTAGGCATACATTAATTTAAATAACAAAAGCGAAGCACAAACAATTTGGTCTCTATCAGATCTTGTGAATGGATGATACATTCTGACATATCGAATCGTAAACATCGTATAATACGTAGTAATAACGTTTATACCGTGGATCTATGTAATGTTGTAAAATATTGATTGTTATTGCGTTAGATTGAAGTGGAGCGTGTTTCTGTTAGAAACCTTCGCTCTTAATATGCTTTTGCTTATTGTGGGCTTATATAAGTGTATGCATTTTGGTGTCTATATAACGCGCCTTCCCCTTGGTCCCGTGGGTATCGTGAGAGCTGACGGTAATGTATGCGATGAGCTCGCGACCTGGCGCTGTTTATAACTATTTATGCACATATTACGTCATCCATGAAACCCTTTTGTGGGATGCATTAGAGTCCGGTGGATGTGTTTAGGTAAGGGTTTGATTTAAGGTACCCTTAACACCGGATAACGCTGCGGGTTTATTGAAAATTTTAATGTAAACATAATCTATGCTTAAGCCACTGAGTGGTTGGGAAGTTTTGGAATACTTTTAGTATTACGACTTTATAACATATAATATATTATATCAAAAGGTAACTACTCTATAAACATATGTATATATATGTAATTGTGAAGACTCTTTTTGAATTTATTCCACTACCAACATGGTCTTTACCTATATCAGCTTTATTCTAATAAAGCTGTTTTTATAGTGGTCTACCACTTGTGAAGAGTTATAAACTGAAAAGGCTTTAAGCATATATAAATATTTTAATGGTGTCGTTTTAGGGTTCCGTACCCAAAGGGTAAAACGGGACCCTATTACTAAGTGTCCGATGTCTGTCTGTATGTATGTCCGTCTGTCACCAGGCTATATCCCATGAACCGTGATAGACAGTTGAAATTTTCACAGATGTATTTCTGTTTCCGCTATAACAACAATTATAGATGACATGATTTTTTCCGTTTTTATAGATAATAGTACGAAATCCTTCGTTCGCGGTACCCTTCGAGCGCGAGTCCGATTCCCACTTGGCCGGTTTTTTTTTATTTACAGCATAAACGGTCATTAACTATGCTGAACTTCGGCTTAAATGAAAATACCGTTGAATTAAGCCCGAAAAATGTCAAATATGCCCGATGAGCTTTTCAAAAACAAAGTTCGCGCGTGCCGTTATGCGCGAGAAAATTTCCTTTGTGGGCGCACTACCAGACTGTGCTGTCATCGGGCGATAGAACGCGTACAGTCGTCGGGAACATTTGAATTTGTACAGAGCCGTATTCCGCGCGGGCGAATTAAAAACAATGGGAGCGATGGACACTTTTAATGCAGATAAAAAAGAGCGTCGAATTGTTTTTCAGTCCGCATTAAAAACGGCCAGTGAAAGTGGCACAATGGCCATAACTCGTCTCGCGTTGACGGGCGACCGCCTCTCGGACATGCCGTCTGGATGGGCGATGCGGGGCGCCCGGGGCCAGGGGCTTATGCACAGCCGCGGACAGCGGATTTAAAGTTCGGAACACGAAAAACCTATTACAACGTTCATTGTTTGTAGCCAAATAGCGTGGCGCGAAACACTTACGATTTTTAGCGCGCTTTGTCAACTCGCAATTTATTAACTTTTAAAAGCTTGCGCTCGAGCTTTTAAGCCGCGCGCTTTATTCCAGCAGACGGATGCTGTTTCACCGTTTTAACGGGGCAACGGGAGTTCGCGATTTTCCATTGGGTGTTTTAGTTATTACTACGATAAAGCCCTCTTTCGAAAAAAGAAACTTTTTCGTAGAAACTAGTAATTAAATACAGATATTCACCTTTTTATGACCTTATATAACTTTGTTCACTTTTCTAAAAGCACTTCATAGAATGACCACCAAACCACATAAGCTAACTTAAAACAAGTTAGCCGAAACTTTAAACTTTGGAATACTTTACTCATACTCCTATATATTTGATCGATTTTTTGTAGGTAGGAGTATACAAACATAAAAAAAGGACGAAGTGAACCTCCAAGAGGGTTTTTAATACATTTTTTAAATCCAAGCCTGTATGACGCAATAATATACCCACCCACAATGATTGCCTCATCACTGGTACCTTTGACTGCTAATCGCGGCGCGATCAATATCTTCAATTTCTAGCTAATGAGCGAAGAAAAGCTCGACACTTATCATGTTTGATACTCAACAACGTTTGCAAAGACGCTAGAGTTAATCAGTCGTCAGTGCTATTTATGTATTTCACGTTATGTACGAACGTCAGGACACAGCGGAGCCGACATAGGGCCCTGAATCATTTAATTTAGGTTACGACCCGTGCACCTTATAACCGCATATCAAGCCGGCATTCTGCGTCCCGGCGGTTTGACTGGGCTAACCGCAGAGCTCCGGCCGACGTCACATCTCCCGCACCGCGGAAGCTGGAGCGAATTCGGTCGGACGCAACTGTGAGCGCCCGCCTCTGCTAATTTTGCGACCGTGCCCTGTTGCAATTCCCACCAATCCGCACATTTTCACCCGCCGTCCGCTTTAGAGCCTAACTCCGGAGTGATTAAGCTCACATAGACTAACGAATCCCCCCCCCCCCCCCCCCCTCCGTTCTCGGAGAAACTTTTGCCTCCGTGAGGTTGGTTCGAGTCGGCGTGCGCGATGCCCGCGCGGAATATTAAATTGTTTAAGCGTTACCTTTGACGTTCGCCCGTGTACTCGAGCCACGTACCGCAATAATTACACCGAGTTAATCTAACGCTACTTTGGCTCCGTTTTCAATGGTGGAAAAGCCTTCAGTTCAGCTCTGTCAAGTTGCACGCTTTTCATCATAACACACGCACGGTGAAAACGTATCTGTACCGCACAAATATTGTGATACGTTTTCACTTATTTAGACCGCAGTGAAGCGCGTAAAGATTGACACTCCAAATCTCCGGCTCGGGTGGTACGCCATCATTTGCAACGGAGAGCAAAATGAGTTGCACGAAACTCCGAGATTACGAATAGCTCGAGGCGTCTCGTGGAAAAGGACAGTTTACTCTTTCGATAGAGTTCGCCCGTGCAGCGGCGTCGGCCGCGATATTGCTTCCCCGCTTATCCCATTCCGAGTGGTTACCGCGTTATAATATGCATTAAACTGAACCGGTCCCGACGGGAACTTGTGGCGGTGTGCGGCATGAGAAATGAGCGTGCTATATGGCCGCAATGCGGGCGCCCCAGCGCGCTTCATTCCATTTGTTTTATCACGCCCAAATCACTGTTGCCAGACAACTTCTGAACGCTCCGCCGGCGTTGATAAAACTTTGACAGCGCCCGTCATGTGCACACTCGTCAGCCGCCCGACTCGTGTTTGTCAATGGAGGGGTACCGAGGTATCAAAGACGTCAAGAGTATTTAGAAATTAACGAAGTTAATTAAATTTCGCGAGTTAGACGTCAACGCCGAGACTCTTTAGTACCAAGGGCGCCTTTGTTGGCAAATAAACACAATATTAATGTTAACGTATCTCCCAAATACAGTTCCCGTGTTAACAAGAGAGTTTAAACTTAATTACTTCGCGTCTGCTCAATAGAACAAAAACCCGCACGGAAACGCTATCAAAATGGTAATGAATTAAATTGCATTATTGACACCACAGAGTCGTTAGGTAAATGTATTTTAAAAATATATTAAGTAAACAAGATAATGTATAACATATATATATATATATATATAATTTGCATTGCAAAACAAGTTACGTTTTTTAGGACGCAATACAATGAAAAGTTTGAGATATGAGGAATTCAATTGCAGGCTAGCGCAGACTGGCTTTGATACCAAATGCACTGTACCCGGAGCTGCTATTAAAAACGATCTAAAATTCACAGTCGGCTTAATAGCGGAGCCCGCACTGGTATATCACAGATATTCGGTGACGTAATCGCATAAAACGCAATTTGTGAGTGCTCTTTGACGTTTAGAATTCATTTAGGTTTGTTTGAATGCGACATTCATGTCGTAGCTCATTATACCTAATCAATTTGAAGTGGGCTATTAATATATTTTTTTTTAAATCACTTTAACTCAATTAGCGCAATGTTCTAAGAAGATAGTTTAAAATGTCGATTTTTTATTTTTAAACAATGTAATTTTTACAATACTTAGTCATAAGTAGTAGTATTTTACAATTTTAAAACAAAAATAAAACATGAGCCTCCGTGTAGCGGAGTGAATAATAATCCTCAAAACAACTTGCCGTGCATAAAACTGAGCGATGCGCTGCGAATAAGGCTCTTATAAGTATCGGAAACCCATTTGCCTAAGTGCATGAAGTAAGTTTTGCCATAAACATGAA